CTTCCGTGACCGTTCAGCAGCTCTGGTTATATCTCGGGCAGTGGGCACGAAACTCCTGCTGCTCGGATCCTCGGCGTGCCTCCGAGAGCCTTGCCTGCCGAGCTCCTGCAATCGAATGCGCTCATCCTCAGATATCTGTCTGTACCGCATCGCCAATGACCTGAAATCCCTGACCGTGCTAACGTCCGTCGTCGATACGAAAGCCCTCCATGCACCTCCGCCGCCACGGCGAGATTTGGGCTTGCTCTGGAGAGGGGCAGGGTCGTGGACGGTGGCGTTCGGCACGTGGATCGTTTCCCTCCGCATGGCTAACTTCTTCTCGCGCGTCCTGAGACGCTTGAGCAAGAAGCTCGACGATGCATCCAGAAAGCTAGATATATGAGTAGTCGAGCCCTGCCTGAGGATCTGCCTGATGGACGCGCGCAGCGCCTCGGTCCTCACAATGCTGGGGATCAGCAGCAGCGCCATCAGAATCCGACCGCCCCCAGGACGCAGCGCGCAGTGAGTTCATTCGAAAAACTGTTCCCCCCCTCCACCCCTGCCCAATCACCTTCCCGCGAGCCCCTGCGATGCCCTGCGCGCCCCCTGTTCTTCCTCCCTGTGCTACCTGCCCTACCCCTCCTCCTCTCTCTCTGCCTACTCCTCCTTCTCGCATTGCCACGTCGTCCTACGCGTCCTCCCCCTCCTATTCCTCCTTCTACTTACTCCTCCTCATTTCTCCGCCTCCTCGCCCCCTTACCCATCCCGCTCCTCTTCATGGCCCTCATGTCCCTTACTTCGTCCCCCCCCCCTGCCAAGACGTCCTCCCACCTCCTATTCCTCCCATGTCCTGCCTGGAGCATGGCCTCTTTCTTGCCGGAGAATGACCCCCCCCCCCCCCCCCCCCCCTCCCATCCTATGCCCCCCTCCGACGATCCTTCCATTCCCCTACTCCTCCAACTACTACTCATGCTGTGCCCCATCCCTCGTGCTACTCCTTCGTGTCCTACTAGTGCTACTTCTCCCTCCTCTTTCTATTCCTTCTTCTCCTCGTCATTCTACTCTTCCTTTCTCTCAATCCTCCTGCCTCTTGCCCTGCCCCTCCTACTCCCCCCCCTTCTCTCTCCCGTACAACTCCAACGTGGAGGCGACGGGCCCTCGGCCCCCCGGAGGGCCCAAGGACGGCGGGGGGCGCGCCCAAGACGAGCAGGAGGCGGAAGGAGAGGAGGGGAGACAGGAACGAAGAGAAGGAGGGAGAGGATTGGCGGGCCTGCGCAGGGCCTTCGCAAGGGAAATGGGCGGCGAGGAGGGGGGAATGAGGGCAGGAGAGGGCAGGGGGGGACTGGAGAGTGGGAAGGGCGCGGAGAGCGAAATGGACCCCCTAATGGATCATCGTTGTGCGCGCGCGCACAGGATCTCGGGGATGCGCGAAGCGTCAAGGATTAATCTGGACCTCGTCTCTCTGGACGCCAAGTCGGGGTTGTCGGCTTTGAACTGCCGCCAGATAGGATCTCCGATGCAGTCGGGCTCATTCTCCATCTCTCTGGCAACGTCAGGGTCGTGTATCAACAGGAACGCGCGATAAGGGCACCGCCTGCGCAGCGAAGCGATCTCAACCTCTGTTTTCGCACCAGCTGCTGACGAAGTCTTGAAGGCGAGCGCGTTGGAATATTCAGACATCAAAGCGTCGTCAATCGTACTCCACATCAAGTCTGATTCTGACAAAAAAAAGGATAGCTTGTGGAACAACTCATTCTCCAACGACCCTTTCGCGCAGACAACGACTCTGCACGTTCTGGCCACAGCAGCTGCGTCCACGCCAGACCCTGGCGACGGAACACCGAACAGGACTCAGCATAAAGAAGAATTGGTTCTTCTGCCCCCTGAGCTCCCGAACGACGACGGCCGCCGAGTTTCCGAAAATCTGCGCTGGACGGGGGGCCTAAGTGGAGGCTAAAAGAACCAATTCGTCTTCATGATGGGCCCCACTCGCGCTCCAACGAAGCCTGAGCGAAGAGCATCTGCCTCCGCAATCTGCTGCTGGCGCTCCCAGTCGTCCCTGCCGAGCCTGTCGCACTCCCTGAACATCTCCGTAACGGGCACCACGACGACGCGCATGATGTCCAAATCAGGCAGGAAGTCCTGCGGGGCAAACTCGACGGACTTCCTTCGATGCTCACTGTTCACCATCTCCTGCGCATCCATCTTGGCCTCCGTGGGGTCGCCACATCCAGCGACCGCCAGAGCGCCATCGCCCTCCATAGCAACATCCCGCTCGCCTTCCTCATGGCCCACTCCAGGGTCGTCCCAGATCGGCAGCGGCGCTGCGCCGCCGTCGCGGAGAGGAAGCTCATCGCCGACAGCCGCGCGCCCACGTCGCCCTCTCATGGCCGCCTTCGTTCGCGCTGCACCGTCCACTTCAGCAACCCACAACTTGACGGTGCTCGAGAAGAGGCCGTGACAATGCTCCAACAAGCCGAACTGGTCAATTGCCACTTCCTTGCCAAACCACCTGTTCCTCGCATACTTCTTGAACGTCCGAGGGCACACTGCGAACGATAGCCCTGAAACAAGCCGGTTTGTCCAGGCCGTCTCCTCAGCAACGTCGGCTGGCATGCGAGGGCAGTGCGCGTGGATAGTCTCGCGATCTCTCCAATCGCCATTGGGAAGCATGCGTAATATAACTAACCTCTCCACCAAGAACTCCCCTGTCCGCGCATACATTGCCAACGCCCGCTTAATGTGCGACGTGCACTCAGGATCTGGGTCGCCGACAACAAAACGAACCATCGATCTGATCCGAGCTTTCAAGCACCTCCTGAAGTGGGACATCGCGCCTGCAACTTCCGTCGCCAATGCCACTCTGATCATTCCTGTAATCATATACTCGAAGTGTCTGAATGTCCTGCCGAAAACGAGGGCCACGAGATGTGCACGGCAATCGAGGCGGATGTGTTGCCAATCTGGACGGTCTTCTTTTCGCACCCCTCTCTCGCAGGCACCGCTGGCGCCCCCTCTGTCCGCGCAAGACCCCCTGCAACGTTGCCCGTACCTCGCTGAAAAACCGTTCGTTGCCCATATGTGTCGAACCCCTTGCCGCGTAGTCTCGCCCGTAACCCTGTCGAAACACTGCAAGTTAGAAAGCCCCCGCCCTACGATGAACCCAATGTGTTGAGCGCCATTGAGCTCAATGGCAATCAACGCACCCCAGTGACTCTCGACTTGAAACAATTTCGCTGGACCCGTTTCTTTGAAATTCAGCAACCCATCCGACCAGTTAGCCCAACAACCTCGGACAATGTCTGCCAAAACCTGGGCATCGCAGATGCCTTCGGTTTTATCTTTGAGTCGTATTGGCATTGGTGTTTCGTCATATAAGTCAATCTCAAACAAATGAAGCTGCCGAACCAGGGGGGACGCCACCAGTTGCTTGTCAAACGCGAGGCGGCTCGCAACGTCCAGGTCGAAACACAGCTGGGCCAACACAGCCCTCATTCTCGAAAATGTTTCCGCATGAACATTGAAATCTTTCTGGCTTACTGCTGGCTGTCTGATGGCGTTTGGCACGTCCAGTTCGAGAAGCCTAATGGCCACGTTCGCGGCCTGGTCATCAACGTCATTACCAGGGGCGACCGCGAAAGCAACGCACATCTCGAGATAAGTGGAAAGCATCGTGGGCACGAACGGGGTATACTTAAGCTTCACAATGTCAACGACCGATTCTGTTACATGAGGAATGTGTTTTGGGAGCGGCACAAGGACTTCTGACAGCGGCCGTGCTGCGACAATGCCGATATCACCGTCCCCAGGCGACCTCACATTCACGGGAGCTGGATTGCGTTTCGGTCTTCCTCTGGCCTTGGGCGCGGGGCGATTGCAATGATTCTGGCACGAACTTGCTATCACGGCGATCCCGTCACGGACTGGCAATGATTCTGGCACCTGCATGCTCTCTGGATCGATCTCGTCACGGACTTGAACGTGTTCTGGCACGAGCTGGGCATCATTGTCGAACTGATCTTCAGCTAACAAATCGTCCAGTTCTGACCTTGCAACCGCCGGAGCATCCAAACCATCCTCTGCCAACAATTCATCCAGTTCGGACATGAAGTTGCACGTGTCGGAATATCACAAAAAGAGTGTTGTAGGGCCAAAGTGGCTATAACTCCTGGTGGCGCCGAGGAAGGTTGAGCGAAACTGCTCCAGAAATCTCGAGGGGTCCCTAGTAGGCTCCTTCAAGCCAAATTCCCAAGATGGCCCCAGACATTCCGATACTCCCCAATCATCCCCAGATATCCCAGAACTACATGCAACATTCTCAGACATCCCAAGACATCTCAAGACATCCCAAGACATGTGCGTACCGATAGACGATTTTATGATACAATCGTTAGTGTTATAAGAGACTGGTACAAGCTCCGAGCCAAAATCCGAGGCAAAAAATCAGTCAGTTGCCGAAGCAAGAAGATAGTGGTTTGTTTTGTAATAACAAGAAGGGCCCAGAGTGGTCCCCGAGGCTCTAAAACAGTGCCTCTTGAAGTCAGCCCCAGAGGCTCTGAAACAGTGCTTTTGATTTTCCTAGCTGTAGGGGGACATGCGGCTTACAGCGCTAGCTGGAGAACTGAAGCCAACAGGCTCTCGCGTCAGAGGGACCGCCTCACCCTCCTCCGCCACTGACTGGGCTGCCCCTGGTGCCGCACTGGCCTCGCCTCCGCCGTCCTGCGGGTCACACGGAGCCTCGGCCCTGTGGCCTGCGTCCGCACTCGCCTCCCCCTGCCCCTCCTCCTCCTCCTCCTCCTCCTCCTCCTCCTCCTCCTCCTCCTCCTCCCTCCTCCTCCTCCTCCTCCTCCTCCTCCTCCTCATCCTCCTGGTCCTTCTCCTCGTCCTCCTCCTCTTCGTCCTCCTCCTCCTCCACCTCCGTCTCCTCCTCCTCCTCCGTCTCCTCCTCCTCCTCCTCCTCCTCCGTCTCCTCCTCCTCTTGCTCCCGCAGCGTCCTCCCGCTTCCACCGCCCTCGCGGCTCCTGCGTATCGTACATGCTCCAGAAGGCGGCCATGGTCTGCGTGCCCTGCAGCACCTGGACCTCGTCCAAGAGCGGCGCGTTGACCTCCCTGCTCTCCTCTCACTTCCTCCCGTTCACCCCCTCTCAATCCGGTCCTCTCTCTCTCCCTCCCTCCCTCACTCCGTCCCTCCCTCCATCCCTCACTCCCTCCCTCTCCCTCACACTCACCCTCTTCTGCTGCCTCCCTGTATTCACTTCTCCCTTCCTCGCTTCACTCCCTCCCACCTCTCCCTCCCCCCACCCGAAGGCCTACTCCCAGACACAGCATAATAACAAACAAGTGGAAACAATGCAGCAGAGTGGAAAACCATACGAATCAACTCAAAACAATACAAAACAACGCAAAGCAACGCAAAGCAACGCAAAGCAACGCAAACACAACAAGTCAAATCGCGACAACGCAACGAGAAGTAGTCCACAGCAATGCAGATAATCAAAATCAAAGCACTGCCGAGCAATGCCTAGCATTGCAAAGCACGGCTCTTGCTCCCCGAAGACCCCGAAGAACGAGGATCCTCCGAAAGACACGAGAAACCCTGGAGGGCCCCCCGAGGAACCGTTGAGGAACAATCGAGCCATCCCGAGGAACTCCGGCGAAACCCCCCCCGGGCCCGGCGGGAGAGACCGCACCCGACCCGCCACCGGGGGCACCTCAGGGTGACCCCAAGGAGCCTTCGGTGACCTGGCGCGGCACCAGGCTGTCGCCACTGGCCCTCGTGCACAGAAGGGCCAGGCACCCTTGGGGCAGAGCCAACCACGGGGAAGGGCGGGGAGGAACGCGCACAGCAAGGATACCCTCATGGGCCGAACGAACATTCCGACCGCGATCGTGTCGCTCTGCGGCGCGCCATGAGAATGAACAGCACGCATTTCTGTTACGATCCAATATGGTGCCACGCACTGGACGCATCGAGCAGCCCACGCGTCCGATGTTATGACATCCGCGAACATGCCTCTGGTACGTAGCGGAGTCCCCTCAGGTCCTTGATGGTCCTTGGCGTTCGAGCATAAAGAGGAGAAACTCGTAGGGGCCGCGAACCCTCAGCACGCGAGTGCTTCGGGGCCGGACCAGTGCTTGCCGCAGGGGCCTCATCCAAGCGCGGAAACAGATCCAGACTTCACACGCTCCAAGACAGACCCAGCGGCCTGTCCTGGAGAGCTCTTGGAGGACTATGGGGACTATTGGGCCGTCTTGTGGTGCCCAAGAGGGCAAACAGTGAATCGCATCGCAAATCGTTCTCGCCTTTTCGGCCCCATCCAGGCGATGGACATCGAGGTTCCACCACGGGCTTGTGTATACTGCTGTTGGCTGCTTGAGGCTGACAATGGAATTCTGTAAAATTGTTGGAACAATGACGTCCAATCGCTCCACTATGCTGTCGACCTCGGAACATGATCAGCCGTGTCATGGGAATACAAGTGTTGACTGAAACCACGCCACATGGGAGTGTCAGATGTAGTGTGTTTAGCTGATTGGCTGGACTATATGGACGCCCAAATTGACACGTTGCCAGGGAAGCACCCGGAGTGCGGAACGGAACGCAACGCTTGCGACCCAAGATGGTATCCAATGTGCTGTAGGCAGCGAACGAAGCTGCGTACCAACAAGTGTCGACAGTGCGACCTTCGCCACGAGCGGGGGGAATTCCCGCGACCCGTTCGGGGGACTCCAGCGGACATTGAGAGGAATACGAAGAGGAGGGGCGCCGGGAGGCGGGAGGGCGGAAAAGAAGGGGGCTCCCCGAGGCCTTCAGCACCACGTCGGCCTGCTGCAGCACCTCCCCGGCCGACTCGGCCACCTCGCCGCGCCCGCGCGCACGCGCGCCACCGCCCCTCCCCGGCGCGCTTGCCACCATCGCAAGCCAGGGCCTGTTCTGCCCTATCGTTCGTTCCTCCTCCTCCTCCTCCTCCTCCTCCTCCCCCTCCTGCTTCTCCTGCGTTTCCTCCTCCTCCTCATCCTCCTGTTTTTCCTCCTCCTCCTCTTCTTTTTCCTTCTCCTCCTCATCCTCCTACTTTTCCTCCTCCTCCTCCTCGTCCCAGAGCCCCTCCCCCGTCCCGGTACCCCTCCCCTTCGGCGCTCCCCCTCCGCACTCCCCACTCCCCACTCTATGCTGCTCCTTTTTTGACGTCATTCGGGCATTAATCAAGTTATCGTTGCGCCTGCGTGGCGTAGGGACAATGAGGTGGCGACTTAGGCCTGGAAGCAAACACAAATTACGCCTGGCTAGCACAGCGAAAAACTGAAGGGCGCGAGAGGCAAAGCAAAAGACAGGGGACCGTAAGGGCAGAGAGTATGCGAGCAGTACAAAGCAAAAAAAGAGCAAAGAACCGGTGACGTGTTTCGCAAGTAGCAGATAGGCTGGCACAGCCTGTGCTGGCTGGCCAGAGGCAGTAAAAGTACTAGTGTAACTAAAGCTGGCATGTTTGTAAAATCAGGCGCGTGCAAGACCTCCTCGTCTCCAGGACCCTCGTAATCATCAGCATCATCATCATCATCATCATCATCATCATCATCATCATCATCATCATCATCATCATCATCATCATCATCATCATCATCATCATCATCATCATCATCATCATCATCAATCATCATCATCATCATATTCCCGATCCGCCTCACCCGCTCACTCGTCTCGTCATCCTTTCGCCAGGCGCCAGCCACAGGACGAGCAGCACGACGACACGATGGAGCGTGCTAACTGCATCGTCGGCACACGCAAACTCCAGCAACGCCAGGAGGAAAGGAATAATCAAAGGAATGATAAGAAAAAAAAAAAAAAAAAAAAAAAAAAAAAAAAAAAAAAAAAAAAAAGGAAGAGAAAGACAAATTAGAAAAAAAATGACCCCAAGAGGCCCTAAAGAGGCCCCAAGAGGCATCTATATGAGCATCTGGGCTAGGACCTGGGCATGGTGGCAAGATGGGTCGAAGGGGGAAACGGGCCCCAGACGCAAAAAACAGCGAACGAAAACCGACCGTCGTGATATTTTCGCGCGATAACACCAATGACCGGCCCCGCCCCGTCCCCTTCTCCCACTGGTCACGTCACGATTCGCGCCGGCGCCATGCGGGAATCCCACCAGCCCTTTGGGCGTGAGTGGTTTAGAGAGCCCGCTCTGTTCTCAAACCCTTTGTTCCCCTTCGGGGAAGGGTTTACCCCTCCCCCTACCCCCTCCCCCTGGGCCTGGAGAGGTCCTTTCGCGGGTGGTTGGATGGGTCTTTTTCGACTCCTGGGAGGGCTAGAATTCGACACCCCTCACGAGGATTGTGGCCCCGACGGGGGGAGGCAGAAAAGTGCTCGCCCCAGCTGTGATCGATCGCCCGAAAGATGGCCCCAAGATACCTCCCAGACCCCTCCCAAAGAGCCCCAAGAGGCCCCAAGAGGCCTCCGAGGCCTCCAAGAGGCCCCCAAGATGCCCCCAAGAGGCCCCCAAGAGGCCCCGAGAGGCTCCCCCGAGGCACCCAAGACGCTCCTGGAAGCCCCTGGGGTCGCCAAGAGGCCCCCAAGACGCCCCAAACGGCCTCCAAGAGGCTCCCAAGAGGCCCGAAGAGGCTCCCCCAAGGCACCCAAGACGCTCCTAGAAGCCCCTGGGGCCGCCAAGGGGCCCCCAAGACGCCCCCAAAGGCCTCCAAGAGGCTACCAAAAGACATCTACTACTACTACTACTACTACTACTACTACTACTACTACTACTACTACTACTACTACTACTACTACTACGACTTACTACTACTGACTACTACTACTGACTACTACTACTACTACTACTACTACTACTACTACTACTACTACTACTACTACTACTACTACTACTACTACTACTACTACTACTATTACAACTACGACGACTACTTTTACTACTACGACTACGACTACTAATACGACTACGACGACTACTACTACTACTACTACTACTACTACTACTACTACTTTACTACACTCACTACTAATACTACTACTACTACGGACTACACTACTTACTACGATTTACTACTACTACTACTACTACTACTCTACCACCCACTACTACTACTACTAACTACTACTACTAACTGAACCACCACTACTACTACTACTACTACTAGTATTACGAAAAAAGACTACTACTACTAACGACTTACTACACTACTACTACTACGACTACTACTACTACTACTACTACTACTTACCACTACCACTAACCAACTACTAACTACTACTACTACTACTACTACTTACTACTACTACTACTACTGTAATTACTAACTACCTAGTATTATTAACTACTACGAACACTACTACCACTACCACTACTACGACTACTAAACGCATTTACTACTACTACTAACTAACTACTACTCTACCCCACCACCACACCCACCACCACCGACCACCACCACCACCACACCACCACCACCACCACCACCACTACTACTACTACTACTACTACTACTACTACTACTACTACGACTACTACTACTACGACTACTAAATCTAGTTCTACTACTACTACTACTACTACTACCACTACTACTACTACTACTACTACTACTACTACTACTACTACTACTACTACTACTACTACTACTACTACTACTACTACTACTGCTACTGCTACTACTACTAATACTACCACTACTACTGCTACGACTAGTACTACTTCTACCACTACCCCGACGACCGACCTTCTCCACGGGCTAGCAAGGTTACCAGAACGCACGGGCGCTTCTCCATGCCGGCCGCAGGAAAATTGCTAGTAGGCGGAAACGATTGCTGGTAGGTCACAGCCACGCTACAATACTGTGAGCCAGAATGGCAACAACGACGACAACGCTGGAGGAAAATAGAGACTCGGGCCTCTCCTGAAAGCCTTGGTGACCTCGTGGCGCTTCCTGGGGGCCTCTTGAACTGTAGTGTCGTCGTCTGATGGTGTGTACTGGTGAGAAGTGGCGTCTACTGTGGTGCGGTGCGGCGTGGTGCGGCGCGGTGCGGTGTGTTGTGGTATTCGTGCGGGGTGGTGCACGGCGGTGCAGTGCGGTGTGGATCCTGAAATCTCTCCTTTGCTGATTCCTCCAATCTCGCCTCTGCTGGCTCGTGGTTCCTTTTTTGGTTCTTGGTTCTTGGTGTGGTGTAGCCCGCTGGCGGTCTCTAGATATCACTGCGCAACTGGTCGAACAGGTTGCTGGATGGGCAGAGCTAAGCTCACTACACTCTCCGAACTATGCCCTCAGAGAGAAATGCCCAGAAACGCCCTATTGGTGGACCCGTCGTCGTCGCCGTCGTCGTCGTCGTCCTCATCGCTCGTCATCGTCGTCGTCGACGCGGATGGGTTACCACACCTTGCCATTACGAGCGGCGCAGAGATCACGCGCATGGTTCCCGCACCTTGCGACGAGGGAGTCCTGCGCATCCGTACCGAGCCACGCTCGCTGCACAACTGGTCGGGGGAGATCGCTGGACTCGACGACGACCGCCCTCTGTCTTGCCTCCCAACTCCTTCACTCCCTCCTCCTCCTCCGACTAGTCCTCCTCCCGCTCCCCCACAAGGAGGATGTACAAGGAGGCAAAAGGAAATAGGAACAGAGGATATATGCGAAGGCAGACAGACACATGCCTGCACCAAACGACTGTCGGCATGCTTCGCTGGGCTTGTTGTTCGGAGATAGTAGTAGTACTTCTACTAGTACTACTACTACTACTACTACTACTACTACTACTACTACTACTACTACTACTACTACTACTACTACTACTACTACTACTACGACCATTACTACTAGTACCACTACTACTACTACTGCTACTACTACTAGTACTACTACTACTGCTACAACTGCTACTACTGCTACTACTACTACTACTACTACTACTACTACTACTACCACTACTAATTCGACTACGACGGCTACTGCTACTACTACTGCTACTGCTAGTGTCACTGCTACTGCAACTACTACTACTACAACTGCTACTGCTACTGCGAAGACAATTATTACTACTACTACTACTACTACGACTACTACTACTACTACTACTACTACTACTACTACTACTACTACTACTACTACTACTACTTCATCTGCTACTACTACTACTACTACTACTACTACTACTACTACGACTACTACTACGACTACTACTACTACTACTACTACTACTACTACTACTACTACTACTACTACTACTACTACTACTACTACTACTACTACTACTACTACTACTACTACTCCTACTACGAGGGGCCCGGACGACTTGCACCAGGACGAGGTGCCCGAACGCCTCACGCCACGAGGAGCCCGAACGACTCACACCACGACGAGGGGCCCGAACGACTCACACCACGAAGAGCCCGAACGACTCACACCAGAAGGAGGGGCCCGAACGACTCACACCAGGACGAGGCGCCCGAACGACTCACACCACGAGGAGCCCGAACGACTCACACCACGACGAGGGCCCCGAACGACTCACACCACGAGGAGCCCGAACGAGTCACACCAGGAGAGGGGCCCGAACGACTCACACCAGGACGAGGGGCCCGAACAACTCACACCACGAGAAGCCCGAACGACTCACACCAGGACGAAGAGCCCGAACGACTCACACCACGAAGAGCCCGAACGACTCACACCAGGAAGAAGGGCCCGAACGACTCACACCAGGACGAGAAACCCCAAACGACTCAAACCACGAGGAGCGCTTTCTCTCCCTCCTCCTCCGCCTCGTCCTTCTCCCGCTCCCACCACAAGGAGGATGTACAAGGAGGCGGGAGGAAGGAGGAACAGGGGAGATATGCGGGGGCAGGCGGAAACACGCCTGAAAAACACGACTGTCGGCATGCTTCGCAAGAGTTGCTGTTTTGAGATGGGCTGGTGGGGATACGCGAAGCGTGAAGAATTTGCCATTACCTACCCCCTGGTCACGGACGTCATCGCCAGGGGATCGAACATCTCCACGTCCAAAAACGTCGTTTATCCCTCCTCCTCCTCCTCCTTCTCCTCCTCTCGAACCTCCAGCGATGGAAGCTCGAAAGAGGAGGGAGGGAGGGAGGCCGCCGGTCATCGCCACCGCCAGCCATCGCCACCGCTCGCCAGACGGCTCGTGGGGGGTGTCGCCTGCACCCCGCCGCGGGCGAAGTAGTCCTGGGAACGCGGGGGGGGGGACGACGACGACGACGACGACGACGACGACGACGACGACGACGACGACGACGACGTCGGTCGAGCGCAGCCGAGGGCCGCCGAGGGCCGCCGAAGGCCGCGTGGACGACCAGACCCCACGAGACCTGGCGGGTTCGGACACACCCGGCGGAGGCCCGAGAACCATGGCCCAAGCCAGTGGCTCAAGCCAGGCCCTCGAATCCCGCCCTCGCCTTCACTTGGTGCTTAAGGGGCTCATGGCAGCTGCTGGTCTCGGTGGCGAAGGTCTTCCTCGGGCGGCTCGGGATTTGTCAACGTCGGTCAGCTCGTGGGCATCTCTCATCACTAACGCGATTGCCAGTACTGAGCTGGTGGTCCGTCGTATGCGGTCAAAATGCGGCGTGCTTGGTAATTGCTTCAGATTGGCACCATTTTTCCATTGGATCAAAGCCGTGTGGTCTGCTTGCTTTGGCGAGCGTCCGCATGATGAGTCTTTAGCTTATGGGGGTGGAGTTTCTTCTGAAATTGGCTCACATTTGCAGCAGCACTGGCTTTTCTACTATGTAGTCATGTCTGTAATTCTGGATTGGGCATGGAGTTGTTTTGATGCGCTCGGGGGATACCCGAAGGGTCTGAAATCGTGTTGACGACAACGCAGTATCCACGGCTCCAATCTATCACTTGCTTTCCCTCACGCTTGACAACTATCATAGCGTGAATGCGCTAGCTTCGGTGAGTGCCAAGGCACTATCATGTTGTAGGCCATAGTGGTTGTAAGATGCGACGATGCTGGACGTGGACTTCTATTCGGAACACGCGATGGGCATGCAGTGCTGGCGTGATTGGTTTACAAGTAGCCACTTGTGCTGGGTAATACGGCAATGAACTTCTACAGGCGTCACCCAGTTCATATTCTCGGGTGGCATCTCGGCAGGCCTCAAGGTGCTTGTGTGAACCAGACCTGCAATATTCTCCCCGTTCTTTGACATGACACTGTCGCTGGTCCCTTTCCATTCCGTTCGCTCTCCCCCTCCTCCCTCCCCATCCCCCTCCTCCTCGCTCCCTCCCTTCTCCAGAGCTGTCAAGGAACCTCTGGAAACCTTCGAAGACCTCCCGGGGCCTCCAAGGACCTCTCCAAAGGACCTCTGGCGAAAACGTAAACCTCCAGAGACCTCTGACCCCTGCTCCCGAGCGCGCTCCCTCAAGCGCACGGGAGGACAGAGAGGGCGGGGAGGAGGTCGGGGGGAGAAGCGGGGCCGGGGAGAAGAAGTCAAGGGGGGGAGGCCACAGGGAGACTAGACGAGGGCAGAGAAAGAAGCCACTGGCTGCGCAGATGTCTGGGCCCCTTGGGCGGGGGAATGTGCATGAGGCACGCGCGCGACTGGACTGAAGCCTGAGAGGATCAAGAAACCATATGGGCGACGCCGCGGCCCTACGCGGCGGCTTGCCCCAGCCGCCAGCGCGGCGCCGCGCGTGGAGTACAAGGCCGCCCACGCGCGTCAACCTCGTGCTTTAACGCCGCTCACCTGGACATGAGCTTCGGATGTCAGTGGGCGATTTCACAAGCGGCGAACGTATCCATATCCACGCCCTCGTGGTCTGGATTCGGGGCCCCCGCGGATACACGTTCGCACAGATTCGTTCCGCGCGGGGCATCCGCTTCGGGGTCGCCGCCATGGGGCCTGGCCCGATGGGCCGCTGCTACGGATATCTTTTTCGCCCACGATCGCCTCCAAGCAGCACGTCGGCGGGAGCGGCACCAGGTGTGTGAGGGCGTGGCCTCTGTGTTCTGGCGCGTCTGGACAGATGCAGTGCGAGACTGGTAGAATAGAAGGAGGAGAAGGAGGAGATGGAGGAGGAAAAGAGGAGGACGAGACGATGGAGGAGCAGGAAGGGGGGGGAGGTGGGTGAAGGTGGAGAAGATGAGGGGGAGGACCAGTGCGAACCCCTGACTCATCAAGGATGTTGCAATAAACCCTCCCTCCAGGTTCCCTCTTCATAGACCCCTACAAGGATTCACTCTCATTGAAAAAAGTGCCCCATTGGAAGACAACCGCCTGAAGATCCTGAACCGTACAAAACACCATTCCTGGGACTTCAGCGCCGCGAATCAACATTACTCTTGCGTCCTGACGACCCTGAATCGCGCCAGAGCACCATTCCTGGGACTTCAACGCCGCAAATAAACGTAACTGTTCCGCTCCGACAGTCCTACATCGTGCCAAAACACCGCTTTCTGGGACTCCAGCAATAGTTGCACCAGAGAAAAACCAAATCAGTGGATGATTTGAAAAGTTGGCGCGAATATGAGAACGATCGTGATATCGACAGTGAGTTCTATAGTGCGATCGGTACTGAGATCGATAATGAGATCGGTAGTGAGATCGGTAGTGATATTGATCTCACTCTATCTACCGATCGAGCCCGGAACTAGGAACCAAGGAACTCCGCGATCGGGAACGCGGAACCGAGAACCCGGGGACCAAGAACCCGGAACCAGGAACCTGGGACCCCGGAACAAGGGAACCCAAAACCTGGCGGCCTACCTAAATCGGCCGCCCACTTTCGCCAAATCCTTCAAGATCCGCTAGGACCCAATCAGTGCAAGACCCAATCAGTGCAAGCACTGATTGGGGAATAACTCTTGAAACTGCTGTAAACTCGTAAGATGAATGTGCGCGGCGCCGAGGCGAGAACCACATTTTGAAAAGGAACCGCCCTCCATCCGCGAAACCCTTGCAAATTGGTTAAACGAATGTGCGCGGCGCTGAGGCGAGTCACATTTTGAAAACGGCCCGTCCTCCATCCGTGAAACTGCTGCAAATTCTACGCTTCAGGATCAGAAATGGTGAGGGTCTCTCAGGCGAAACGCCTGGCCCGCCCTACCAACACGTCTCGGGGAGCGACAGGGTGGAGTTATCAGGAGAAGGGATGGAGGAGAGGGTGAGGAGGATAAAAAAGGAGGACAAGGAGGAGGAGGAGGAGAAGAGGGAGGAGGAGGAGGAGGAGGAGGAGGAGGAGGAGGAGGAGGGAGGAGGAGGAGGAGGAGAGGGAGGAGGAGGAGGAGGAGGAGGAGGAGGAGCAGCAGCAGCAGCATGGCACAGGAGAGGAGCTTCAAGAGTGGGTGGAGATTAGCAGCAAGCAGCAGCGGGATGATAGAAAGGGGGGTAGGCATGAACACTTTGGCGAGAAGGCTGCCTACAGAGTATGCGGGCCACCGTTGGCGATAAAGAAGGGGACAGGCCGCGGCGACATCGTGGATGCTCCTTCCGTGGCCGTTGAGGCCCAGGTTTGTGCAGCGCCGATGCCGTCGCGACAGCTCAACGTACTTACTCCGATTTGTTTGCTGGTCTCACAAGGCCAGAGGCGAGAGCAGGATTTTCAGCAATGTCTTGAGGAGCTCGTGCGCACGCGCGAGAGAGAGAGAGAGATCCTGGTTGCACACATCTCACATGACGAAGAAAATGGCCCAAGGAGGTCTGGCGGGGGGGTGCGTTTTTGCCCCCAGGCTTGCGGGCGGGGGTCCTGGTCGAATGAAGCAGCTGCGTGACGCCGAGCACCCGTGGGGGCGCCCAAATTGTAACCTCGGAGAGAGACTTGAGCTCACCTCCGAGAACTCGGTGCTGAGAAGGACGGCGAGCTAGTTTGCCCATGCGTGTGCCCTGGGAATCCCTTGGCTGACGGTTGGGGAACAAAAAATGTGTCACCGTCTCGGTTTTGACGAGTTGTTTTTCTTCAGCGACCTCTTATCCCTCCCTCAGGTCCGAGCCCATAAATGCGAAGTGTGCGCAATGTCTAATAGACTAGACTGGGACGCCATCGTTGTGCTCGAGGCGGACTGTGCAACCTTATCCACGAGGATTACTTCGGAGGGGGGATGGAGGTGCGTTGGGGATCACGGGCATGTGAGAAGGGAGCGGCAGGAATGCATGTGAGTCAGCCTCCCTTCGTGTCTGCATCGCCTCTTGAAGAACGCACTGTGTGATGAGTGGCTGAAAAAGGAGCTTTAAGCAGATGGACTCACGATCGTGCGACGGAATTCCCTGCTGATGTTGGGCGTTGGAAGCCGTTGGATCCGTATCTGTGTTAGGGCCTTGGCCGCTCTGCTCGACCGTGGTGGTGTTTGGCGGGGACCCCTGATGTCACAACGGCCCCTTGCATGTGTCGTGCTCCTGTTTTTCTCACCTTCCTAGAAGAGGCTGCGAACCCATCGGCCTTCAGTTTGCGTGCGCGCGTGCGTGCGAGGAGGAGGAGGAGGAGGAGGAGAGGGGAGGAGGAGGAGAGGAGGAGAGGGGAGGAGGAGGAGGAGGAGAGAGGGAGGAGGAGGAGGAGGAGGAGGAGGAGGAGGAAGGAGGAGGAGGAGGAGGAGGAGGAGAGGAGGAGGAGGAGGAGGAGGAGGAGAGGAGGAGGAGAGGAGGAGGAGAGAGAGGAGGAGGGCAGGGAGGAGGAGAGGGAGGAGGAGGAGGAGGAGGAGGAGGAGGAGGAGGAGGAGGAGGAAAGGCCCCCCCGCCATCCTCGTCCGAGAAGCCAGCCCTGCTGCCCGCGCCAGCCTCGAGGAGCACCGAGAAACCCATCCTGCGCCCGGGGCTGCGCCGAGGCGCGTGGCTCGGCGCAGCGGCCGGCCGCCGCTCTTCCTCCGCCCCGCCTGCACGCCCGCCTCGCCTGCCCGCAGGCGGGGAGGCCTGGCAGGGGGCCGACAGGGGACAAATCTGACAACGAGCGGTGGGGATGACCGGCGGTGGCGATGACGCGCGGCGCCCCCCCTCTCTTTTCGAGCTTCCACCTCCAGAGGTTCGAGAGGAGAAGGAGGAGGAGGAGGAGGCGGCGGCGGAATCGACCTTGGACCAGAATTCGTCAGCTCAGGCAGCGGGCGGCTGAGCACGACCTAACCTGTGATTTGTCGGGCGCTGTAAGAGCGAAACACGTATCCTCCCCCCAGGGAGGTAGGAGCCCCGAATTGTCTTCGCTCGACCACCGAAGTCAAGCGCGCGGACCAGGGGCCG